GTATGACACTTTGCCTGTCATGCCTGCTCAAGTATGCAGTGACTTGACGTCATTTAAGCATTGAATTCATATTTTGGGATGTCTTCGGTCCTATAACACACCTGGCCGTGCCGACAAATTGAATACAGAGCTAATGCACGGTATGATAATTTGTCGGCACGGCCAGGTGTGTTATAGGACCGAAGACATCCCAAAATATGAATTCAATGCTTATATTTACATCTCTAATTTTCCTTTATCATAATTGTTTATTTCGATCATGTTTAATGTGAATTTAGCGCCCTTCAGTATTGGTGTGCTTAATAAATGTAATAGCCATTCTTGACGTTGGAAAGTCGTTTGTGCTTTGGAAAGTTAAATAACGCAAATAAACATTGCGAGGAAAAAAATTACAAATTAAATTTTAATGCACATTTGTTGTGATTTTATGTTAATTTTAAAAGGGTAGTTTTTAAATGAAATTAAGTCAAAACAATATACATTTTGTTGTTCCTAAATATTGAAAATGCATGTAGTTCCTACTGTGTATTCTAACGCGCGGTGACAAGGTTTCGTGTGTGTTATAGAAATTTGAACGTCGTTGATTTCTAATGGATTTCATAAAGAAAATTACACTGAATGTAAAATATTATTAGTTACACAGTCAGTTAGTGACCTAATACGGATTCATACAGGGTGTGAAATGGAAATCCGTATTGGGCGAAAGCGCGGTGACAAGGTTTCTGTGTGTGAGACCTTCTCAATATTAAAAGAAAATTTGTGCATATTATGAAAATATTCAGTTTTAATCCAATAACAATCAACATAAAATATCGTTATGGTAACAAGAAATTTAACTGAACTACCTACGAAAACCGTTTCTTAGCCGCCATTTTTATTTACAATAACAACGCTTCGAACGGAATCGCGTGCCCGAGAAAATTACGGAGACGTAATATGGAAAATGTAATACGGAAAAATATATTCTTTTATATTAATCGACAAATTTGTCTGAAGCGGGATAAATTCTATTATGACGTCATATCTATGTAGTTCAGAGAAGTAACTACGGTTTGAACAGTTTGAAATTTTACGGGCAGCCTTATCCTAGCTGCATATAAAAAATACTCATAAAAGTACTTCTGAATCCACAAAGTTATGTGCATTTATCCACAGTATTTCTTTAAAGTTAAAAATTAAAGTTAATCAGATTCAATAGGGAAAATTGACAAATCTCCAATGTTTTTGAAGAAAAAGCGAATTGGAATATCGGCAATGCATTTTCTAATTGCAAATTATTAAACAAATATATTTTTTAGGTTAAAAAATGATAGGTATCCTGAGGCATTCAGAGAAACTGTCATAAGTTTTATACTTATTAGGTATATTTTGTCTTCCAATTCCGTCATGTATTCTATAATACATAGTGTAAAGGCTTTTGCTATCATTGCAAGACACTACAAATCATTTCTTATTTCATATCATGCTGATAAGCATTGGTATCAAAGGCTAGATTCAAGAAAATCCCATTCTCTAAAACAGTATTAATTTTTTTTCCATTTATAGAGTACAATTGTCAACTTTTATAAGACTTTTTCTAAGACTTCCAAAACCCTTTAATCTTATAAAGATGAATAAAATAAAAATTCTTGCATGAAAAGTTTCATGTTGATGCATTTCAAATTAAATATTAATTTTTGGAGTTATCCTTCCTGGCTCAGAATCGGATATCCTAAAATGTGGTGCACAGTTCAAACTGACGTCAATTGCACCATGTAAATCTGGTATCCATTGTTGATTACAATTTATATGACACTCTGGATGTAATACAAAATACATGATTGTGTAATACGATTAACTGTCAATTAATTATTGGTTCTTTTGTATTTCTGAATTTTAACTGTAATTGTGCATTATCAAATAGGTTGGTATCAGTTATTTTTTGTGATTCACATTTCAATTAGCCTGAATACTTACATCTGTAGATTTTTTCTCCGTGTGTGTGGCAACAAGAAACAGTGGTGCTTTTTTGCCTCCAAATGTCTTGATTGAGGTAATCCAAAACTTCAGGTAGTCTAAAAGAAAACACAATTTTGTAAACTAAAAGAACAACAAAGCATCCTAATAAAACCAAACAGGTCGGAGTCTCTGGAAAGTGTGTAGCTCTTATACTGCTTTGTGTTTAAAACATGAAAAAGTAAAAGAATTTCAATCTATAGTTTTGTTTTTGGTTTTACAATAGTCCAGCAGAATTATATGATTTCATATTTTGATAACCTTTTAATAGTTATTAAATAAAATATGAACTCTAAAATGTGCAATATTTAAATTCTGAATTTTTTTTTTACATATCTTCTTCCTTCTGTTTTTCATGAAAACTGATTTTGTAGAAAAATGTATTACAGTGTTGTGTACTTGTTAAGGCAAACAGCGTATAAAGAGAAGTTAAGTCAATTTCAATGGCAACACCCTCTGAAAACTGATTCATCATTCCTGGCTACTGACTGAAAAGTTATTTGTCACATCCACAGAAATGAACAGATGCCCACCACAACTGACAACCCCATGGGAGATCAATATCCCCAACGAAATAACTCCATCTGATTATTGAACTCCATTAGTACGAACTGATTAATTTTAATATCAGAAAAAATAAATTTCACTAGTTGTTATTTCAAAAATAAACCAAAGCTGTTAATAACTAGACATATGTCCATAGGACATGAATGCCCCGCCGAGGGTATATTACAGTCCCTGAAACGTTCTACTTTCTCATTTTTCCGTTCGTTCAGCGTGCGATCACCATTCCCTCTTCGTACACAGTATTGCGTTCACCATGCGCTTGCGTTCACCATTCATAAAACGTTCACAATTCGCTCTTCGTTCCGTTTACTTTGCGTTCACCGTTCACTTATCGTTCAGTCTTAATTGTCAATCGGAACTCTGAAGTGAAAGGACTTATCTTTTTGATGGTAAGGATTACGTTTTTTAATTAAATAACTTTGATATCATAATTGAAGAATAATTATTTCATTGCAAAAATTATCTATGATAGTTATATTTCTATTATTATAACTAAGCTGTTAATTATTTCATGAAATTTCCCTGTAAAATAATACATTAAATACCTTCATGTATGTAGAACGATGCTAAAATATTAATTTTCAAAAATGGCAATGTACAAATGCTTCATGCACGGCCTCAATTTGTTGTAATTTTTATGACGACAAATCATTAATGGATGTATAATAATTAATCCAAGTCTTTTTCAAGAAAAGAATACACAAAAAATATTTCTACAATAACCCGTATTTTTAAACTACATGAAGGTCTGATAATAATGAACAGTACTGCAAATATTCAGTTAATTAAATATCTTTAGAGCTAATTAAATTGATAGTGTGATATCAAATTTTAGAAAAGACCAACTGATTAAAATAGTCTATTATTAGAGAAGGTACCTAAACATATGTTTAAATTTATGTTTGCCATTCATTATAATTAAGACACCCCCCCCCCTCCCCGGTGCCTTTTCTCCCGAAATAAAATTCTTAGTGAGTATTTTCAGTATATTTTAATTAATATTTAATGTGTATTGGAACACAAGAAAATAAGTCTTAAAACCAACATCAAACAGTCATTAAACAATAGTATTTCAGAATACACTTATGCCGACAGAAGTATTTTAAATTGGCAGGGAATATGTTTCAAATTCAATTTAAAACTTAATACTTCCAAGTATATATTCCCATTCTTTATTTATTTTTTCTGCAGGAATGCAAAAATCAGATCTAGAAATGATAGGGAAAAATATTAAAACTCCTTGGAAATATTAAGTGACTCTTTGCCTTCAGCATGTTCGGTGAAACGCGATTTCCACATCTCCACTGTGTCGAATGATTTTGATTGACAGGACAAGTACGTTACTAGCACGTGGACTTCCTGTGAACCGTGTGAACTTGATGATGGAAAATAAAAGCCAATGTTTACTGTTAAATGGATCTGTTAATCTAAAAAAAATTGATTACCTTTACTGCTTGCAATATTTAGGAAAAATAATAAGAATTTTTATTTGATACAACAGATATCTGAGATTTGAGTGGGTATCTCTCTCTCTCTAGATAGATATTTATTTGGTATACCACAGATACATTGTTACAATGCAATATTGACAAAATAATTTTATGATAAATATAAAAGTTGGCACTAAACAATAGAATAAATATAAAATATCGGAATCGATCAGTTTTTGAAAGACATAAATTTATATATATATATATTTATTTACATTAGTATACCAAGGATAACCCATGAAAGCCAGTGGCTTATTTCCAATGGGGTCCTTATACTCAAACTTGTATCTTAATTAGATGTTAGATAATATAAACAGATAAATATAAATACTATCTCTCTTTCTTTCTCTCTCTCGTACATTTCTCTGTTCAATAAAAACTATGACAGCACATTACTTATTTAGTTTTGAAAATTTTATTACAAATAATTTGAATGCCTCTTTCCATCATCTAATGACCGAGTATAATCACGGCCGGGAAATGTTTTCAGACACATGTAGAATTTAGCTAAGATAATCGTCATGAAAGAATACAAAAGACACACAAATATGGAATATTTTGCATTAGAATTTTAAACAAATGAGAGTTTTTATGCAATACGTCAACAGACATTTGCGAATTAAAACAGAAATCCGTTATTTTACTCAGGCACGGAAATACATGTATGGTTGTTTCAACCGCGTACAATGTAATTAATCCATTCTATAAGTAGTAGTTTTATCTTCAGAAGTCTACACTATTTTATAAGTGAAAAGAATAAGCATATTTACTATATAAATATATTAATTTTATAATTAATCTACACACGTTCGGTAACAAATACACATGTTTTACGGCAATTAAAATTTTTTATAAAAATATCGATTTAAAACATAGGTACATATGGGTACAGAAAAAAATTTAATTAATTAATTAATTTATTTATTTATTATCTTTATTGTTTATTTATATTTAACCACCTAGAATTAGAATAATAGAATAATAAAATAATCTCAATGCAAGGAAAAGATCAGAGGCATTTTGAATAAATCGTTCATCTTGCGTTCACCGTTCATTTTGCGCTCACGTTCGCGCTCCGTTTGCTTTCTGCGTTCACTCACTGTTCACCACGTTGCGTTCAGCATTCGCACATCGATCAATCATCGTTCTCTCTGCGTTCAGTCACCGTTCTTTCAGTGTTTCTTCACCGTTCAGGTGTGAAACTCAAAGTAGAACGTTTCAGGGACTGTAGTAAACCAACATGAAAATTTGTATTAGTGTACATGATTTGATCAGAATATCTTGAATAGTAATGCAGTTGAATTGCTTACATTAGTATGTATGAGCATATGAAGTTTGACATTAATTTCATCAAAGTGCGGTCAAGGTCAAGGAAATGCCGAGGTCAAAACTATTGATGCAGTTGCATATCTCTCATCAATATGTATCAACATATGAAGTTCGATAAAGATATCTAGAAATGATGTTTTTTAATTAAAACTGCCTTTAACACTATTTGATATAATTGGGGTCAAGGTCAAATAAAAGGTCAAGGTCAAAATTGTTGATGCAGTTGAATTGCTTACATCGATATGTATCAACATATGTAGTTTGACAGTTATTTAGGAAAAGTGAGGTCAAAGGAAAGGTTAAGGTCAAAAAAGTTGATGCGGTTGTATTGCTCTCATCAATGTGTAACTTCATATATGAAGTTTGATAAAAATATCTTGAATGGTATCTTTAAAACTGAGCGAAACACTAAATAAAGATAAGTGAGATCAAGGTAAAGGAAAGGTCAAATGTTGATGCAGTTGACTAGCTCTCATCAGTATGTATCAACATGTGAAGTTTGAAAACACCATCTTGAATGGTATGTTTAAAACTGAGCTAAACATTAATTAAAGAAAAGTGAGGTCAAGGTCAAAGGAAAGGTCAAGTAAAAAAATATTGATGCAGTTGCATGGCTCTCATCAAAATCTATCAGCATATGAAGTTTGATGAAAATATCTTGGATGGTTTCTTTGAAACTTAGCTTTGAACAGAGCTAAACGCAAAGTGTGACGGAAGGACGGAAGACGGACATGACAAACACTATATGCCCCGGCCATATTCATGTCGGGGGCTAACAAATTTAAATCTACATTATCGTTTTTGATACTTTTCTTATTCATGATCAAATCAGGGCTTTGTTGTTCTTGTGAAGAATTAAAACGATTTTCCCATGTTTTCCTACGTAAAACATTGATGTTCTTGAGAAGGAGACTTTCTGATGATTTTTGTCTATGTAAGCCTGCTTAGTCCCCCATTATAGCCCCTCCCTTGCCCCATGGGTCATGATCTGAACAAAATTAAATCTACATTATGAGGGCATGCTTCCATATAAATATGTCCAATCATGGCTTAACTGTTCTTGAGAAAAAAAGATTTTTTTTTGAATTCCTTATATGTATTCATAAGTTAAACTTTCATCCCCCAATGTGCAAACATCTTATCCCCAAGGGTCATGATTTGAACAAATTTGAATCTACATTATCAGAGGATGCCTCCATATAACTACATGTATTTAAACAATCATGACTATGCTGTTCTAGAGAAGAAGATTTATCTAGATTTTTCCTTAGTATTCCGATGTTAATCTTTGATACCTCATTGTGGCCCCATCCTTCACCCAGGGTCATGATTTGAATTACCGTATAGGGGGTTATTTTAGCGGGGTGCTAATTTTGGCTTATTTTGGCATTTTGCTGATGATCCGCTAAAATTGTAATCGCTAAAATAGTCAGGATTCTTTTAAGTGTCTATCTACAAAGATGTCACGTTAAAATAAATTACGCCAAAAATATTCCCATACCTTTGAGTAGGCAAAACGCCAAATTTTACACCCGCCAATAAAACCCGCTATACGGTAACTTGAATCTACAATATTAGAGGATTTCCAAAGAATGTTTCTACATGTCAGTTTCATGATTCCTTGCCCCGCGGTTCTTGGAAAAAAAGAACATTCTTAAAGAATTTTCCTATGTATTCCTCTGTAAAACTTTGATACGCCATTGTAAACCCCCAATCTCTTTTTCAAGATTTTCCCTATATTCCTATGTGAAATTTTGATGCCCAACTGGGGCCACACTCTACCCAAAGGAGTCATGATATGAACAAACATGAACCTTCACTTTTAGAGGATACTTCTACATAACTTTCAAATTTCTTGGCCAAGTGGTTCTTGAAAATTTTTCAAAAATCTTTCCTATGTATTTCCATGTTAAACTTTGATACACAATTGTGACCCAACCCTTCCCCCGGGGTCATGTTGTAAACAAACTTGACATAACACTATCCGAGGATGCATCCACATTAGTTTCATCTTTTCTGGCCCCATGATTCTTGAAAAGATTTTTAAAATATGCCATTATTTTTTCACTTATAATAATTATAATTATTTCCCATTGGAAGAGGTTACGGCCTTTTATTTGAATAAACTTGATTTCCCCTTCGTGGCATTTTTCATTGGTCCAGTGGTTCTTGAGTAGAAGATGATAATGTGAAAAGTTTACTACGACTATTACAACAACAACGACAGACAACAGACAAATTTTGATCAGAAAAGCTCACTTGAGTCTTCGGCTCAGGTAAGCTAGGGTATTTTAAGCCCATCGGCCAGGAGACCTAGGGCAACCAAACAATTGTTAAAGATGGCCTTATGTTTCTTTGAACAAACAAAATGATAAATGTGTATTGTCGATGAACAAAACCACAAATGGATGCGTAAACTTAATACTGATAACTACCTCAAAACATCTGACATTTTATAGGTGTCTTACCTCTGTAAGTCCAAATGGAAAAGATTGATCCTTCTTGATTATCTTTCTCTTTATCAATAACATCTTCAAACTCCTTAGTCATGTCCAGTACAAGGATGAAGAAGGCCTTTGGTGTTACGTAAATTTGGTGACATGCATAATATGCTAACTGGCCAGCAAAATCCAGCAAGCTAACGGTCGGGAATTTTTCTTTTTCAGACAGGATTTTCTGAAAAATTTCATCCTTCACCATTTCTTGTGTTTCTGAGGAGAGAACACTGGCCATTGTCTCAACTGTATTCCGTTCTTCTTTGCCTTCAGATGGAGAAATGGACCTCACAACGTTCTCTTCTTTCATTTCTTCTCTGCTATATAAAACTACTTCAGTGTTTTTATCAGTACTTCCTTGCTCCAAATTGTCTTCTTGTTCATTTGTATCGGAGATGTCAGTTGCACTGCCCGGGTCTGGTTTCAAATCTGCAGTGTTTATCCTGATAAATGTCTTCAATGGTGAGTCATCATCAGCCTCTGCAAAAGAAGAAATTGATATGTAGTAAAAAAAAAACCTTGGAATTATACTTGGCTTTTCTGAAGTCTTACTGGGATGGAAATGAATGCACAATATACGATTACAATTGATACTTTTCTATTCTGTGTAAGGTATTCAAGGCTCACTGGATTTACAAAATGCAAATTGTCAATAGTTTCCATGGAAACATGGAAAAGTGAAAAATTTTTAATTTTGATTTTTAAATCAAAGTGCTGAAAGGACTGATACGAGTTGATGTTGTCCAAGTTTCTAGTTCTAGGAAACAGTCCATTCAATTGAGCTAAAACCTTTTTAGGGTTAATAGGCATGTTGTGTAGATGTATGGAACGCAGGATTGGGGTCAATTACTTTGAAATGTAATTAATTACTTTCAAATACATTGATAATTTTGTCAATTACTTGCAATTACAATTACTTTGATTTTTTCAAATGTAATTAATTACTTTCAATTACTTTGACAAATGTAATTAAATACATTTCAATACTTGAGTTTTATTTAAAAAAAAAAAAAGAAAAAGAAAGATTTTTTTGTAAAAAAAAAAAAGGTTTTTTTCTATTGTGAATTTTTATTCGGTGTTTTTGTTCTTGGATATGACAAGGGTTCACACCTGGACCAATTTAGACCTTTACCTATAATGACTTGGGCAGTGTGACACACTGTATAAACAAACTAAACACAATGAGACTTTTAATAATTGTACAAACACAAGCCCATGCTACACCAGCATGGTGTATGACAAGAAGTTTGTTACTTTCTTGAATCAATGTTTTTGAATAAAATAAATTAATATTTCTCACAAATTTATTCAATATTTTCTATCTTAAAATGTATAGAATACATGCAAATGTAAATCTTAAAGGGGATGTAGTTAGTCTATAATTACTGTAAAAACAGATTAACTATCTAAACCATCTATTGTTACTTTCAAATGGGAATAGGTAGAATTGAGATTTTCAAAAAGTGGGAATAGGTAGTATATTTCCACCAGTAGAAAAACTGTGTACCAGTATATAAACTTTTTATAACCTTTTATTTTGAAAAAAGTAATTAAAATGTAATTGAAAAGTAATTGAAAATACATGACCTTTTTTTTAAATGTATTTAAATACATTCAATTACTTTATACAAGGATAAATTAAGAGAGTAGAAAATATGACACTGTCAAATAAGAACGAACTCACATGCATGCACATTCGCTTTGCTCCCATTGGCTGAAATAAAAATCTAAAAAACTTTTTTGCTTTTTGACAAAATACTTTGAAATTAAAAACATATTCATGCTTTAGGATTTCCTACAATATGATATATAACAATAATCATGAAAACACATGCATGCATGTGGACAGCAGTCTGATTAACTTTAAATGGCTATAACTCCTTTGTTTTTCAACCAAATAGGATTGGATTTATAACATAGATAGGCATAATGGACTCCTACAAGAAGTTATGGTCTTCATGTATATGCATGCACGTACGTACAAGTGCAATTTGCTCTGATTTTTAAATCAAAGTACTGAAAGGACTAATACGAGTTGATGGCTGTCCAAGGTTAGCTAATGGGTATTGTTTTACTGATGAAAAAAGTCTTGTCCAGTTCAGAGCGATATTCGCCATTGCTTGCAATAGCAGACTTTCTAGTTTTATAAAAAAAAACATTTTTTTTTAAATAATGTGCAATCAAATTAAAGTGTAATATGTAAAGACCAGATACTAGTGTATGACTTTCAATTAACATATTAAATATTTGTTTTTTTACCCGTATTTTCTAAAGAAAGTTCTGGTATATTGTTGTTACTCATGTCCGTCCATCCGTCTGTCACAATTTTCTTTCCTTAACTCCTCTTACATTTTACACAGTAGCCTAATCAGCTTTTGGGAGATGGTTGGTGGTGTCATGTAGATGTGCTGTAAGGTTTTGGAGTGTTGATTTTGCCCTGGGTTCTAATGGGGGTAAAAAAATGACTTTTTTAATGCAAAAATTCCCGTTTTCCACGAACTCCTCCTACATTTTACTCATCAGTCTAATAATCATTTTGGAGATGGTTGGTGGTGTCATGTAGATGTGCAATAAGGTTTTCGAATTTCGATTTTGCCCCGGGGGGTCAAATGGGGGTCGAAAAATGACGTTTTTGTATGCAAAAGCCCCGTTTTCCCTGAAACTCCTCTTACATTTTACTCACTAGCCTAATCAGCTTTTAAGAGATGGATGGTGGTGTCATGTAGATTTGCAGTAAGGTTTTGGAGTGTTGATTTTGCCCCGGGGATCTATTGGAGGTAAAAAAATGACGTGTTTTAATGCAAAAAAAACCCGTTTTCCATTAACTCCTCCTACATTTTACTCATCAGTCTAATAATCATTTTGGATATGGTTGGTGGTGTCATGTAGATGTGCAATAAGGTTTTTGAATTTCGATTTTGCCCCGGGGGGGGGTCTAATGGAGGTCAGAAATGATTTTTTTATGTAAAAACCCCATCTTCCCTGAACTCCTCTTACATTTGACTCAGTAGCCTAGTCATCTTTTAAGAGATGGTTGGTGGTGTCAAGTAGAAGTGCAATAAGGTTTCTGAATTTTCATTTTGCCTGGGGGTCAAATTGGGGTAGAAATTTGTTTTGTTTTCTAATTTATTTGATATGTTCAATCACCCTGCTTTCAAAAACTTCCCTTATGTTTTATGCATTAGCTTTAAACCATGATCATTTGGAAAATGATTGGTTTGTTTTGTGTATGTGTAAAATGGTTTCAAAATTAATTTTGCATTTTCATGTGGATGGCAAAAAGGGGCAGGAAAAATTGGCCCCTCCCTAACCCAGGTGGTCATGATTTGTAACAAGAGGCCCTTGGGCCACATCGCTCACCTGAGAAGCTTTGACCATTCCGTTCTTTACCAGATTTCCCCTTGTAATACATATTGTGACCCCACCCTACCCAAATTATCATAATTTAAACAATTTGAAATCTACACTACCATAGGATGCTTTGATTCAACATTGTAAAACTTTGATTCCCCATTGTGGCCCCGCCCTACCCCAGGGGTCATGATTAGAACAATTTAGAATCTACACTACCCCAGGATGCTTCCACATCAGTTTCAGCTTTTCTGGCCCAGTGGTTTTAGAAGATTTTCAAAGATTTTTCCTATATATTTCTATGTAAAACTTTGATTCCACAGTGTGGCCCCGCCCTACCCCCGGGGGTCATGATTCTAACAATTTAGAATTTTCACTGCCCCAGGATGCTTCCACATAAGTTTCAGCTTTTCTGGCCCAGTGGTTCTTGAGAAGAGGATTTTTAAAGAATTTCCTCATATATTTCTATGTAAAACTTTGATTCCCCATTGTGGCCCCGCCATATCCCCGGGGGTCATGATTTAAACAATTTAAAATCTACTCAGCTCAGGTGAGCTAAAAACTTGAATCTACACCTCTTGAGAATTTTTCCATATTAATCATGCTCTTGCTGTTCTTGAAAAGAGGAATTTTGAAGATTTGTTTCCTTTTATTTGTAAATAAGACTTTGATCCTTAATTGTGGTCTGACCCTAGCCTTTGAGGCCATGACTTGAAAAACAAGAGGCCCAGGGGCCACATCGCTCACCTGAGCAATTGGCTAGGAAAAAACACAGATCAGATCAGAACTGAAAGTTAACTTTGGGGGAGGGGCACTTGAATTTTACACCCCCCCCCCCGGGGGGTCATGATTTGAACAAACTTGAATCTACACTACCTAAGGATGATTCCCTATAAATATAACGAAGCCTGGCTTTGAAATACTTGAAAAGATTTTAAAAGGTTTCCCTATATGTTCCTATGTAAAACTTTGATCGGCCATTTTGGCCCCACCCTACCTCCAGGGGTCATGATTTGAACAAACTTGAATATACACTACCTGAGGATGATCCCACATGAGTTTCATCTTTCCTGGCCCAGTGGTACTTGAGAAGAAGATTTTAAAAGATTTTTTCTATATATTCCTATGTAAAACTTTGATCGGCCATTTTGGCCCCACCCTACCCCCGGGGTCATGATTTTAACAAACTTGAATCTACACTACCTGAGGATGATTCCACATGAGTTTTATCTTTCCTGACCCAAAGGTTCTTGAGAAGAAGATTTTTAAAGATTTTTCCTATATATTCCTATATAAAACTTTGATCGGCCATTTTGGCCCCACCCTACCTCCAGGGGTCATGATTTGAACAAACTTGAATCTACACTACCTGAGGATGATTCCACATGAGTTTCATCTTTCCTGGCCCAGTGGTTCTTGAGAAGAAGATTTTTAAAGATTTTTCCTATATATTCCTATGTAAAACTTGGGTCGGCCAGTTTGGCCCCATCCTAGCCCCCGGAGTCATGATTTGAACAAACTTGAATCTACACTACCTGAGGATGATTCCATATGAGCTCAATCATTCCTGGCCCAGTCGTTCTTGAGAAGAAGATTTTTAAAGCTTTTTCCTATATATTCCTATATATTCCTAGCCCCGGGGGTCATGTTTTTTAAAAGCTTAAATCTACACTACCTGAGGATGATTCCACATGAGTTCCATCTTCCCTGGCCCGGTGGTTCTTTTTTAAAAATGCCATTAATTTTTCTCTAATTATAATTACATGTATCTCCCCTTCGAAAAGGGCGTGGCCCTTCATTTGAACAAACTTGAATCTTCTTTACCCAAGGATACTTTGTGCCAAGTTCGATTGAAATTGGCCTAGCGGTTCTTGAGAAGAAGTCGAAAATGTGAAAAGTTTACAGACGGACAGACAGACGGACGGACAGACGGACGGATGGACGGACGCCGGACAAAATGTGATCAGAAAAGCTCACTTGAGCCTTTGGATCAGGTGAGCTAAAAAGTTAAGTGAAGGTCAAAGAAAAAGTCAAAAGTCAAAAAATATTGCTGCAGTTGGATATGTACAAATGTACATCAGTATGCATCAACATATGAACTTTGATAAATATATCTAAAAAGTTTTTTG